AAGCATGTCGATGACATAAACATGGCCGGCACCAAGGACACTTTCGATAAGTGCGCCAAGTGTGTTGAGGATATGATTGGCAAGTGTAAACTCAACAAACGCACATGCCAACTGTGCTGCAAAGTACACAAAGGACGGCGACGGTAATGTTACACTTGATCAAGACGAATCTATAAAGCAGCCCCGCCCTATCCAACATCGCGAGCTCACGGGCGCAGACGCTGAGGCCGAGGCATCGAAGAAGGTCGCTGACATTCTTGTCAGCCTCAGAGGCGCCGTGGCCTGCGCCCTGATCGTACAGGCGCGGTTAATGGCATGCCTTGCATCTCTGCAGCGCGCCCAAGACACGACCGACATGCATGCGCGACGACTGAGCGCGATTGCCAGAAGGTTGCAGGCCTGCCCTAAGACGATCGCATATCAAGCGACGGCTCCAGCGGGCGAGGTCGACCTGCGCAGCGACTCCGGCTACCGGCGTCTAAGCGGAGATGCGGAGGTGCCCCCGGCGAGGTCAAAGGCCATCGCATTCGCGGGGCAAACCTGCTACGGCGTGGGCGCACGCGCTCTGGCAAGCCCGTCGTCAATTTTGTCGACGCGCGCTGCGATTCTCATCGCTTGCAGGTCAGCTCGAGCTACTCAGCGGGAACACTTGCAGCGGCCCGCGCATTGGAGGACTGCCATCCCACGATCGTCTCTCTGCGCGAACTCCACGCAGGGCTGCTGACACCCACCCATTTAGAGGATCTACTCGAGATGGGCGGCCTGAGCATTATATCATGTTGACCATCGATGCAGGATATGTCTTCAAGCGCTTGTCAAGCAAAGACCTGAAGAAACATTCTCGGCTCTCGAAAAAGGGCGCATCAGGAGCCTTACGTGTGACGCTCTCTGGACCAACAGCAGAGCGATAAAAGCGAGTTACATGCAGTCGGACGATCGCTGTGCGATGTGCGGGCAGCACGATGACACGCCTTTTCACAGGCTCTGGCGATGCCCTGCTTTCGATTCGATGCAATCGGAGTTGATGACCGTGACCTTCAGGATGCTGCAAACGCGGCGGACCCGTCTGACCCCCTCACCGACCTTCTGTTCGGGAAAGGTTTGTTTCCCCACCCTGGGGGCGTTTTCCCGAGGCCCGCTGGTGAGAGCGCTGGGGCCCAGGCGGTCCAGGTCTGGCACGGATCCCCTCCCGACGATGGCAGTTTCAGAGGCTTTATCTTCGTTGACGGGTGCTGTTTCAGGCACCAAGTCGCTGAGCTCTCGAGGGCGGGGTCTGGTCTTGTTTTAGTCGACGACTCTGGCCAAGAACGGTGCACGATTTACGCCCCCGTGTATGCTCCGTTCCTCCAGACTCCCCAATGCGGAGAGTTCGCGGCCCTGGCCAGAGTGGGCCTCGAAGTCACGGGTCCGTCGTCTGTTTTTAGTGACTGCGAAAATGTGGTGGACCTCGCCAATGCCCCGAGGGAGTTGCAGGTTTGTTACAAGAGGCCTTACGCTGGCCTCACGATGCTTTTTAATTTAGGGGCCCCGCGGATCAGTGCTGTTTCGAGGGTGAAGGCTCACCTCGACCCTCAAGATGAGGGAATCGAGCCTGACGAGAGGTGACGCCGTTCGGGCAACCACGCGGCGGACCTGGCGGCTAAAGCAGGGGCCAATCTGCACCCTGCGGCCTCGGACGAAGAGCAGGAGGCGTTGACTTTCTGCATTAGGATCGCTACAGCGGTTTGCAAAGCGGCGGCCAAAATCCTCCTTCAGTGGCCTCGTCTGGACCTCTCCAGCTGTCCCCGAGAGGCCCAAGTCAGCCCCAGCACTGCCTCGTCGGAGGCGACCCTAGCGAAGACTATGCTTGAGAGCCAACATTGTTTCGTGCGCCAGGCCTCCCATAAATTTGTGTGTAGCCTATGCCACTGCATTGTTAACCAGCAAGACATTCTGGAGGCATGCGCGACGGAGTGCTCGGTTGATCCGTCGGCGGCCCCAGGTTCTACGGTTTCGGCTATCGATGAGTTCCGGTCGGTGGGTGGAGGGGTGGCGCTGGGCGGGAGGCAGCTTCGCGAGGCTCACGCCCTTCGTTTCTGGCCGCGGCACTCTCGTTATTTTTGTGCGACTTGCGGCCGCGCGGCGGCGATCGCCCCGAGAAGTTGACTGTCTCAATGCGAGCCCGCAACGCGCAAGGGCTCCCATTACATGGCCAGGATAGGCAAGAATATGTTTCCTAGCTGCAGAGGACCCTCAGACGCACTGACGGACGCACAGGCGTCGAGAGTTCGCAGGGCGTTCGCCACCTCACGCACCTCGCCTGTGGGAGAGATGGCGAGCTCTCTGCCGCGTCGCGGGGAGGGCTCCGACAGCTCAGACTGACGGGGGCGGCCTAGCAGGCACTCAAATGTTCCTGCTAGGCCTGAGGCGTCTGCCTTGTTTTATCTCGCCGCCCTGCTAGTCTGTGTCCCTTTCGTTGGAGCGGAGGGCGGCGGGTCCTTGATCGCTCTGCCTAGTTGGTCTTCGGCAGCATCTGGAGGCCCGCCATGGGGGCACAAGCTCAGGGCGCGACACGGGCCCGCACCTGGGGCAGTACAGGGGCCGTCCAGGCGTCCGCCTTCAAGGGTAGGTACACCTGGGGTTTTCCTGGCTGTCGTCCTGGCGTCGCGCAATCACTTCCTGTTCGTTGTTTCAGTGCTGCCGAGGTGTTACTAATGCATGCCCCACGTCTGGGGCGAGGCTTGCGGTCGTCCTGGCGCCCGCGGCACCAGGGGTTGCGGGTCTCGTCGTCCTTGCGTGGGCGGTCGTTTCTTCTTTCCAGTTTTCTGGTGGCAGTGCGCGTCCGTGGCGCGCGCGCTCTCGCGGTCGCTCGGCACGAGTGTCAGGCGCCCCGCTCTGGGGGGAGGCGCATAGCACACGCGTCCGTGACTGTTTCCATCCGATCACGGGGGCTGTCCCTGGAAGGCCCCGACCGTGGCTCGTGTCGCGGCGTCGCAGAGGCCAGGCTGCCTGGGCCTGGCCCTCTCATCGCTGGTTTCCCTCCTTTACATGCGTTTTATCTCGCCGCCCTGTTAGTCTGTGTCCCTTTCGTTGGAGCGGAAGGCGGCAGGTCCTTGATCGCTCTGCCCAGTTGGTCTTTGGCCGCATCTGGGGGGCCCGCCATGGGGGCGCTGACTCAGGATGCGAGATGGGCCCACGCCTGGGGCAGTTCAGGGGCCGTCCAGGCGTCCGCCTTCGTGGTTAGGTACACTTGGGTTTATCCTGACTGTCGTCCTGGCGTCGCCCTATCTTTTTCTGCTCGTTGTTTCTGTGTCGCCGTATTTGTCAATCTAGTAATCACGCGCGTCCGTTGTGCGTGCGCCCTCGCGGTCGCTCGGCGCGCGTATCAGGCGCCCCGCTCTGGGGGAAGGCGCATGGCACGCGCGTCCGTGATGATTGCCATCCGAGTACGGGGGCTGCCTTTGCACGGCCCCGACAGTGGCTCGTGTCGCGGCGTCGCGGAGGCCAGGCTGCCTGGGCCGGGACATCTCTTCGCTGCTTTCTTTCACTTACAAGTGTTTTGTCGCGCGCAGCCGCGGCCCGCTGTCGGGGTGCCCGAGCTGCTGTGTTTTGTCGTGTGCCTCGGAAGCGCTCCGCCTCATAGAGGCTCGCGCTGCGGCTGCCAGCTCTCCGCCCCCCAGCCGCACCCGTGGGCACCGACTGTCTGTCGCCGCGTACCTCACAGGAGGTGGCCAGCGGCGGCAGTCCTGCACAGCCGAGGTGCTTGTTTGCGGGGGCCCGCGCCTCGTTTGCTCATCCCGAGATCCTGTCAAAAAAAAGACCTGAAGAAACCGACTGAGTAAACATTTTCGGGGCACCTCCGTTGGATGCGACAGGTGATGTCGCGAGGTATCGCGCATTGCGCGCAGTGGTGCGACGCTCGCGGCGAGGCCGCGGTCGGCCGCGCCGAGGGGGGCATCGACAGAGGCATGCTCCTACAAGTCATGGGAGGAACGCAATCCTTCAAACGTGATTTACAACGACACACCCCGTACAGGGCTGGCCAGACCAGATCGTCTGAACCGCCGGAGGAGCAGTCATGTGCAAGGTAACTTGCCTGCGATGAAACTTGCTTGCGAGGGGACTTGCGCGCGTTTCAACCTGCCTTGTTGAGCCCGCCTGCTGCTGCCTACGTGGTGTGATATAGCGTTTTGCTGCGCAGCTGGCGGCTGGCTCGCGCTTCGTCTCCCCCCCCCCCGACTCTAAAGGAGGTTGGGGCGAAGGCGAGGGATAGCGACCGTTTGTCCGCAGCCTTTTGTGCCCAAGCGGCCGGCCGCCAATATATGATTGCGCTTCATCGCGAGGCTCCCTACTTGCCATTGAGACCGCAAACATCATCGCTTGAAATGGCCCGTCGCTCCCTCGTCGATATTATATTCTGGAAGTATCGTTGCTACGGTTCAGCAGAGTTGGATCTGGGCTTGGCGTTCGGCGAAGCGTATGGTTGGCCCTCCCAACCCCCTTCAAACTGGCTCCCCGTCCAAGAGGCCAAAATGGGGCCAAAACTTTTGAAAAGCCGCCGGTTTCGGTTTCCTCGCCGAGGCCGTCTTGGACGCTCCAACTACCCGCGGAACCCCCCGTCCAAGTCTAGGGGGTGGGGTAGTGGGAGGGGTAAACCATTCCCAGAAAGGGGAAACAAGGTGGGTGGAAGGGGGAACCCCCTAAACCACCTACGCCGTGAAACAAAGGCTGGTGGGATTGTTGGAAAGGATTTGGACGGTTTCCGGAGGGTGTTTGGAAGGTTTTTGGAAAGTTTGTTGGGAGGTTCCTTGGAAAGTGTTTGGAGCAGCCTTCCAAAAACCTTTTTTCGCCACCCCTTTGGAACCCGGGAAAACCTTCCAAAAACTTTCCTCGGGAAGAATCCGTAACCATTTTGGCTCAAGCATTTCGGTTCTGACCGTTGCAGTGCGATACCGCACATACACACACAGTACTTTCCTCTTCGTACACGCAGGTAATCTGCTCTCAGCCCGTTCAGTGGGATGGCAGCCGAGAGAGCTTGCTGGACCGTGTGCTTGGTGACGCTGCTTCTCCACAGCGTTCCCACCGCCACTTCTTTCATGCTGGGGGTGAACACCAGCACTCGTGAGACCGAATGGCAAGAACCACCTCTCCGCACGGAGGCTCAACGATCTGCGTGCGCGGCCTACGCTGGGGAGTACGAAGTCTGGTACCAGGGGGCGCAGGGCAGTACGAATATGATAATATATTGCGACTGCACCGCGACCCAGCCTGGAATTTTCACGGACAGCCTTCGTTTTACCAGTGTCTCGTCCCAGTGCCTCGGTGCTTCTCAGTTCTATATCTTGACGCACGGGTCCAGCAAGTACGAGTGTCTGTACCAGAGCGGCACCACGATCGCAGGCTATTATTTCACAAGCTGGAATGCATATTATGGGACCGTCGAGTACCGGTTGATACGCCGCGACTCTATTTGTAACCCTACGCCGTACCCGACGCCGTACCCGACGCCGAACCCGACGCCGAGCCCGACGCCGAGCCCGACGCCGTACCCGACGCCGTACCCGACGCCGTACCCGACGCCGACCCGACGCCGAGCCCGACGCCGAACCCGACGCCGAGCCCGACGCCGAGCCCGACGCCGTACCCGACGCCGTACCCGACGCCGTACCCGACGCCGAACCCGACGCCGAGCCCTTTCACCGTCGACTGCACTGGGCGCAACTACGCTAATCAGGTTGCATATTGCCAGTCGCAGGGCTTGTCCATCGCCAGCATCCACAACGATGCGGACAACAGCGCGATCTTGAGCTTGCTCCAATCTCAGGGGTGCAACGCGTACATCGGCGCTGAGTCCAACGGAGCCGGCGTCTGGTCGTGGAGGGACGGCACGCCATGGAACTACGTCGGCCCGTTGAACGATGGGATCCATGGCTACAGTGAGACAAAGATTGCGTACCTCAGTGACGGCTGGTGGCACGATTGGGAGACGGGCAGTGCTATTCACGGTGTGGTTTGCCGGGGCGTCACGCCCAGCCCGACACCCTACCCGACGCCGTACCCGACGCCGTATCCGACGCCGCGCCCGACGCCCTCCCCGACGCCGTACCCGACGCCGAAGCCGACGCCGCGCCCGACGCCCTACCCGACGCCGCACCCGACGCCGAAGCCGACGCCCAACCCGACGCCAAACCCGACACCAAAGCCGACGCCCAACCCGACGCCCAACCCGACGCCGAATCCGACGCCGAATCCGACGCCCAACCCGACATCGAATCCGACGCCGTACCCGACGCCGTACCCGACGCCGTATCCGACGCCGTACCCGACGCCGTACCCGACGCCCAACCCGACGCCCAACCCGACGCCGAATCCGACGCCGAATCCGACGCCCAACCCGACGCCATACCCGACGCCGTACCCGACGCCGTACCCGACGCCGTACCCGACGCCGTACCCGACGCCGAATCCGACGCCGAATCCGACGCCCAACCCGACGCCATACCCGACGCCGCACCCGACGCCGTATCCGACGCCGTACCCGACGCCGTACCCGACGCCCAACCCGACGCCCAACCCGACGCCGAATCCGACGCCCAACCCGACGCCATACCCGACGCCGTACCCGACGCCGTACCCGACGCCGTACCCGACGCCGAATCCGATCCGACGCCCTTTCCGACGCCCTTTCCGACGACCTTCCCGACGGGTTTCCCGACGCCCTTCCCGACGCCGTTCCCGACGCCGTACCCGACGCCGTATCCGACGCCGTACCCGACGGCGTACCCGACGCTCTTCCCGACGCCCTTTCCGACGCCCTTCCCGACAGCCTTCCCGACGGGTTTCCCGACGCCTTTCCCGACGGCGTTCCCGACGGGTTTCCCGACGGGTTTCCCGACGCCCTTCCCAACGGCCTTCCCGACGGGTTTCCCGACGCCCTTCCCAACGGCCTTCCCGACGCCCAGCCCGACGCCCAGCCCGACGTATCCTGCGGGTTGGCCGACGCCACATCCGACGTTTCTTCCTGCAGCTCCCATGGCGGCTGGAATTGGCGGAGGCGTGGCTGCCACTGGCGATCCCCACCTTCAAAACGTTCATGGCGAGCGGTTCGATTTGATGCACTCAGGCTGGCATGTTCTGATACATATCCCTCGTGGAACGAGCGCCAAAGAAGCATTGCTTCGCGTGCAGGCCGATGCGCGCCGGCTGGGTGAACATTGTGCGGATCTGTATTTCCAACAATTGAACGTTACCGGCAATTGGGCAGAGGCCAAACAAGTTGGGGGGTATCACTACAGCGTGTCGCAGAACTCAATCGAGATTCCGCAATGGGTTGCGTTTGGCCCGGTACAGTTGAAAGTTGTGAATGGGCATACTGACGCCGGCTTCGTGTACTTGAACGTGTACGTGAAGCATTTGGGGCGGGCAGGGTTTACCGTCGGAGGTCTACTGGGGGAGGACGATCACAAAGACGTGAGCACTCCTCCGCAGGCATGTGCGATGCATACGCAGCTCGTTGAGCTTTCGTCCCCAGATGGTCCTAGTCATGTCACGGCATCTGCTGCGGTGGCATCCTTCTAGCCACGAGGCAGGGCCACTCCCCACTCGTGACAGGGGGAGCTAGACTTCCGAACTACACTCCTCTTTCCTTGACATCATGTGCTCCGCCAGCTGGCGTGACAGCACGTGCACCTTGTTTGAAATTCCGAAAAGACGCCCGCATCAGCAGCCTGCATGCCGTTGCCTGCTCGGACCTTAACGTGCGTGTGGCTTGTGAGTTGCAGTGACTGATCCGCACTATGTGTCGATCGGCATTTCAGCTGACATGATTCCTGAAGTTCTTAGTGCGTCGCCGTTCTGATGGCAGGCCGTGCCATGAAGTTTTTAGTGCTTCGCCGTCCTTGCAGTTTCGAGACAGACGCTGCGCTCTACTGGTCCCGTACTAGAAAGAACAAAAAAACTTTCCTCGGGAAGAATCCATGAAGGGTTACCCGAATTGCCGCGCCGGTCTGCACAACCGTTGTGAAGTTTCAGGCGAGCTGCCAGGCCTGCCTTTTCGACCGGTTTCCGGGGGCGACATGGAGGAGATATATATATATATATATGTATATATATGAGGAAATGGAACGGAGGAGGCGGAGGAATTTGAGCCTTGGGGGAGGACGGCGACGACATGATACATACGCAGGCTCCTGATACACACCACTGGCACAGCGACGACAACAAATCAAGCCACCAGGTGATAAACGCCTTCATGCGCGACATTAGCGAGTGGACCCGCGTCAGGGTTGCAATCAAAACGTTCAACGCGGCCGTGAGGCTATTGCAGAATAGGTGTCGCGAGTTCGTCGCGTTCAAGAGGAGGCGCGTGGAAATCATGGAGAAGATTTGGCAGACTGCCGAGGACAGACTTCTTTCAGGTTTCTTCAAAAAGCACGCTCAGAATGTCATGAAGGCCTTCAAGGATGATATAGAAAAAGAAATCGAGACCGCCAGTGCCCGTGAGCAGGTCAGCCGGGTAAATATGATGTTGCACATACATTTCAATTCCCACGTGTTCTTCTTCTCGGAAGCGTGAATTCGTAAGGTCGCACGTGCAGTCAACCCGCATAGTAAGGATGAACCACTTTCCAGTGTTACCCTTGCATCTTTACCCCTTTCGGCCCATCCTGAACGACTTTCGCTGGCCAGGTTGGTTTGACAAGGATAGCATGGCCCTCTAGTGCCTTTGCATCCTTGCCGCGCATCATTCTTATACGGGTTGACTGAATCGTTGAACCGTGTTGCCAACGCTCTTGTGATCGGTCTGTGCTTTTCGAGCTGTCGGCGGCCCTCATGCCCTCTCAAGGTATCTCTGATGGAATGTGTAGCCACCCTCCATGGTGCACACTGTTTCGTGTCAACTCTAAAGGACTGCTATGTGTTTCGAATTGGGGCCATTTTGGGGATATCTGGAAGTACGTAGCACCCCGCAGCTGCGGATAATAGTGAGGGGGCCGCGGGGACGTCGGCAGTCTGCGAGGCTCCTGAAGAAGTCCGCCGCAGGCGCCAAATATTTACAACTCATACAACGACCTCGCCGCAGGCGCCGATTTTCTCATTCAAGCAATGTGTGTACGTCGCGGGGTGGGTCGCGGGTGGTCGCGGGTAGGTCGCGGGTGGGTCGCGGGTGGGTCGCGGGCTGGGTGGCGGGTGGGTAGCGGGTGGGTCGCGGGTGGGTCGTGGGTGGGTCGCGGGCGGGTCGTTGGGTGAGTCGCGGGTGCGGGTGGGTCGCGGGCCGGGTCGTGAGCCGGGTCGCGTGTTGGGACGACGACAGCAAACAACAAACAATAACAGCAATCCACACTGCAGATATTTTTGCCACGCGCCCACGGACAGTGAATGATCATTCGGCCCCAATGTGTTTATGATCTGCCCGATTCGGGCTTTTCTGGGCTGTCCAGAGGTCCACCGTTCAATGTAATTGGTTACAGGTTGTAGCGTAGATCCCAAGCCTGCTTCTTTACGCTGTGCATGCGATGTCGTTGCTTCTGAGCGGTGGCAATCTGCATTTTGTGTAGACGCGGCCGCTGGCCGACACAGAGGTCAGGATTCGGGTGGTGTGGACGACTGTTCGAACCTTTCACAAGTTCTGCACGTATATACAAGTGGCACGTGTGTGCCCAGGCTCATACAAAAAATTGAAGGGGCGTTTGAAGCAGGAGTGAAATGCAACAGCGAAGTCGCACTCGAGCGCAAGTGCGGTTGCCACACCTTGCGATGTGTGTACCAGGGCCCCCCAGGAAGCCTCAGGAGGCCCAACTTGGATACCAGAAGAGGGTCCAGGAGGCTCCAGGATTGTGAGTGTTGTGTGTGTGTGTATGTATGTGTATGATGTGTGCTCTGTGTTGTGCGTGCTTTTTGTGCGTTGTAGGTTTTGTGTGTGTGTGTGTTTTCCATCTAACATCCCCTGGCCATTATTGGCCATATCTCTTTTCTCCTGCCTCTCTGCTCTCGCACATTCTGGCACGAGTCAGGCTCCGTGGGTTTAGGCTAGCGCCCAAAGCCCAATCGAGACTGGGCTGCACATCGGATGGGTCCACGGAGCTGCATCGCATTGTAAAAAATAACAAGTTGTTATTGTGATTTCTCTGTGGCTTTCGCCTTGCCGACGTACTTCCAAGAGTTGAACGTACAAGGGTCTTGGGCTGCAGATTTGAGCATTTCCATATAACTACACTTCATAGTGTGACAGTGCTGGAGTGGAGCCACTGCCCAGGTTCAGTGGTGTACCGCAAACGCTATCAGTACCTATTTCGACGGCTAATACTTCCAGGCCTCGAGGTGTGGTTCTGTTCCGTGTTTTCCATGTCCGAGGCTGGGCCGTCGCTACAGTCAAGTGGGGATGTTGTGTTTCGACGGTTCCTCCGCGCACGCCATTCCCTCCTAGCACCGTCATCGATCTCCATGGGCACCCGTGTGTTGGAGCAAGTTCGGGTTCTTACCTCTTGGATGCCCCCATTGCGTTCGACGGCTCTAGATCTTTCTCCTGATGTTCTTGGCCCTGAATGCCCCGTCCAAAAGCTTCTGATTGGGACTTTGTTTCAATTGGTTGTGCCCACACCATCTGATCATATGTTTCTGGCCTTGGAGGTCCTGGAGTCGGAGCTATCTCGTTTGGATTTTGGTTCGGATGTATCCTTGGATCTCACCACCCATCGGATTCACTTGAGTGTTGTGGTGTCTTTGAGTATGCTACGGTTCCGTGGGCGTCTCACTGGTGGACGGAGGGTACGAGAGCAAGTCCAGAAGGCACTACTGTGTCTCCCTGGGGACTTGGTGTGGGCTCTCAAGCGCAAGGGTCCAGCATCCTTGCTCCATTGCGCCGAGTTGCATGCCTGGTTTTCCCTGCAGGCACGTTGCATCCTCGCCCCTCCTGGCGTTCGAGGCCATGCCTTTACCTATCAGTTGGGCCTGCAGGGATGCTACATCGGTCAGGGTTTACTCCAACGGCGTTCTTCTCTGGTGTCAGGTTCAGTCAGCCGCTGGCGTGAGCACGCACGGTGCTTCTATCGCCTGCGAACTCAGCGTGGTTCTGTTCCTGATAGTGCACGTTATGGGGCTTTGCTGAGCTCTAATCGCACGTCTTTCCTCCCCATCGTGTTTATCACGCTCGCGTCTGTCAGGGAGGCGACGGCTTTGGAGTCCTCGTATATCGTTATCTCACGTCCTGTGGCCAATGACCTTTCCCCCAAACCCTCGTGGACTGGTAGTGGCAGAGTGGGTAAGGGTCCCCGCAGTCGGCGTGGCCGCCGAGCCCGACGACTGGACTCTGGCCTGGGAGAGGACCGATTTGAGCGTTCTCGTCTTTGGTTGGAAGCCCGCCTGCACTCTTTACAGATATTTTTTCTGGACAAAAATCCACTAGAGCTCGGCATCTGGAATGGACTCAGATTTTGCGAAAACATTTCCTCGGGGTCTATGATGAGTTCATGCGACGCCAGATCATGTCGGGCCAGCCGTGTGGACCTGTGGACATTCGTACCCCATCCAATGGACTTCTCCTGGTGCGGTGGGTGGCGTGGAAACCCAGTGAAATTATTTGGCAGGATGTGGTGGCACGTCGTCGGCTCGGGCTTGATAGTTTATACGCTCTCTGGTTTCTTGCGGCTGCCTTACCATATCACTCACATCGTTCTGTCGTACGGGGTGCCCTAGCTGATTTTATGCGGCTCAACGACCTATGTCCACCTGTCCCAGAATGTGTTCTAGTAGATGATGAGTGTGAAGCACAACTTATTCGAGGTTGGTTTCGACAGGTTATTGGGATACTAGCTTTGGTACGCCCAGCATGGGCTAAGGCTGTTTCGGCTACTGTCAATGTCAACATACGCCCTGTCGTGTCAATCCAACGTCGCTGTGTGAATGTGTCTACCCAGATGAAATCGTTTGAGTTTGATCAGCTGTCTACGCTCGAGTTGGAAGATTTTCAGCACATCCATGAAGGCCGTGATCTGGTTCGGCTCCCGTGTAATGGTCGTCTCCCATGGAAAGGCTCCGATGTCCTAACGTCCCACGAATCTTTGGGCCAGCAGTGCAGCAGTTGGTTGCGCCGTCAGCGTATCCCTGATATCTTTGCTCTGCCTCTGCTCCGTGCGCGCTCCAGGCTCATAAAAATAGCTTCGGGGACGCGAAGTTCGGCCCCTCCTTGTGCAGATACCTCACCCAGAGGCACATCAACCGCGTGTGCAGCATTTCCGTACAGACGTACTACGACCGCGTGTGCAGCATTACCTTCCGGCCATCCGTTAACCGCGTGTGCAGCATCAGCGCCCTGTGGAGTATCCTTCCCCAGTCGGCCTTCCTCGGCAGGCAGCGGGTCTACGCGCAGGGTTGCGGCATCATCTGGACCGAGACATTCTCCTCGGACTTTTATTGCGAGGACGCCCAACCCGCCCCAAGAGGAGGCGCTCAGAGCTGTTTGTGCGGAGTTGGAGGCCCTTCCCCCAGCCGCTGGGATACGGTTGAGGACAAGGATCCTCATGCCTTGTGGGCGTTCGAGGTTGGGGCGATGGTGGTTCGTTGGCTTGGGATCCTCTCTGCAGCCCCTGAGCGGTGGAGATTGTCAGCGGCCCCGTTATTGAGTATTTTGTCTTGGTATAGGCTATGCTATGATTGGACCATTCCAGAATCGATGAGGAGGTGTCCTGGGAATGTCTCTGGTGCGAACCTCCCGTGCGTGTACCCCACCATCAAACCCAAGTGCTTCAACACTGATGGATCAAAAAAGTGTAAGAAACCATGGCATTCTTGTGTCAGGAATGTTTGTTCGTTTCTGAAGATGCCGTCTCGCCGACTCTATCGCCGCATTGCCAGGGCTGTCAACTTTTTGGTCGACCTTCTTACCCCTGGCTGGTCCTTGAAGGATCTCTCCAAGGCCCCCGAGGAGCTCTTGCAAAATCCCGACCTTATTCGAGGTCCCATTCAAGATTTTCTTGGGAGATTCTGTTGTGCCAGCTGTCGATCGCCGATGTCATACCCAGGTTTTGTGGTTGCGGATGCAGGTCAGGCATATGAGACGCTGAGTGACCCTGTGGTTTGGAGCTCTGTTCAGAACCTCTTTGATCGGGCCCATCGTGCTTTCAATATGCAGACGATATCGGTCATGCACTCTCGCGCGGCATCCGTGATTCTTGGAGGTTTGATGCATCGCCGTTATGTTGATCGTACTGTCTTCCTTTTTTTCTTCCCTCCAACGTTCGTTGGCTGGCTTCTTGGGTTTTAAGTACTTCACTCTGGGCAATGTTTCTCTGCACCAGGTATGTGGGGTTCCCATTGGTGGTCCGCTATCCCCATGTCTGCTCCATATTGTCCTGTCCCGAGCCGAACACCCTCGTGATGACAGGTGGTGGCAACGGCTTCGGGATTTCATGGCCTCGAGGTATGTTGACGACGTACATATGTTCAGTCATCGGTTTTGCCGCACATGTCTGACACACATTTTGCATAGTACATATCGTGGTGTCACCA